GTCCGTCGGGGGTGAGTGTGCTCTTGGCACGGACGTCCTTGAGGACAGACAGGAGGAGTTTGAGTGCTTTGCTGCTGCTTTACCTCATCTCGTGTCCATGCTGATTGCCCCTGAGGGAGACCCGGATGCACCAGACATCCCGACCCCACGCTCCTACGCAGAGGCGATGGAGGGTCTCTACTCCTCTCAGTGGCAGACAGCCATGGACGCAGAGATGGCTTCCTGGAAGTCCACAGGCACCTACGTCGACAAGGTTCCCCCACCTGGGGCGAACATCGTCAGTGGCATGTGGATTTTCAGGGTGAAGCGGCCGCCGGGTTCTCCGCCTGTCTTCAAGGCGCGTTACGTTGCACGAGGCTTCAGTCAGCGAGAGGGAGTTGACTTCTTCCAGACCTTCTCCCCGACCCCGAAGATGACCACTCTTCGGGTTCTGCTGCACGTCGCTGCTCAGCGTGACTACGAGCTCCACTGCCTTGACTTCAGCACTGCGTTCCTACAGGGCACCCTGCACGAGGAGATCTGGCTGCGCCGCCCACCTGGCTTCACTGGGTCGTTCCCTCCTGGTACCCAGTGGAGCCTCCGGCGGCCAGTCTACGGTCTCCGTCAGGCACCCCGTGAGTGGCACGACACACTGAGGACTACTCTTGCTGCTCTTGGTTTTGCTCCTTCTACTGCTGACCCGTCGCTGTTTCTACGCACCGACACCACTCTGCCGCCGTTCTACGTTCTCGTGTACGTAGACGACTTGGTCTTTGCTACTACTGACACTGAGGCACTCGCCCACGTGAAGTCGGAGCTGCAGAAGAGACACACGTGCACAGACCTGGGTGAGCTGACAAGCTATCTTGGCTTGCGGATCACCCGGGACAGAGCACAGTGCACCATCACCTTGACTTAGTCACACATGGTGCAGCAGGTCCTTCAGCGCTTCCGCTTCACGTACTCCTCGCCTCAGCCCACTCCTCTGCCTACCGGTCACTCGCTCTCAGCTCTGCCTTCGGATGAGTCCGTAGAGCCGAGTGGCCCGTATCCAGAGCTTGTGGGCTGCCTCATGTACCTGATGACCTGCACTCGACCTGACCTAGCCTACCCTCTTAGCATCCTAGCATGCTATGTCGCTCCTGGCCGTCACCGGAAGGAGCACATGGATGCCGCTAAGAGGGTGTTGCGCTACTTGTGCAGTACGTCGGGCATGGGGCTTGTGCTTGGAGGATGGCGCGACGTTGTCCTCACTGGACACTCAGACGCTTCTTGGGCTGACGACCAGGCTACTCAGCGGTCGTCTCAGGGTTACACCTTCAGCCTTGGCTCTGGCTCAGTTTCTTGGCGTTCTACACGCTCTTCCTCTGTTCTCAGCTCCAGTTGTGAGGCTGAGATCTACGCCACAGCCATGGCTGACCAGGAGCTTCGCTGGCTCACCTACCTGCTGACCGACCTGGGAGAGCGGCCTCGTTCTCCTCCAGTGCTGTACGTCGACAACAAGGCCGCCCTTGCCTTGTGTCAGGAGCACAGACTGGAGCACAGAACGAAGCACATCGCTCTGCGCTACTTCCTTGCTCGAGAGCTGCAGCAGCGTGGTCAGCTTCGTCTTTCGTACGTGGCCACTCGGGCCAACACTGCTGATGTGTTCACCAAGGCGCTTCAGCCTTGTGATCATCAGCGTTTCTGTACTGTTCTAGGCCTTGTGCCTACTGTCCCTCACTTGCTCACTTCTTGACGCTGCTTGTACTGTGATCTCTATATATATACCTGCATGCTTACACTTGCTAGGTTGTGATCACTGTACCTCTTGTTTATTATCAAACTGCATGTGAACTGGTCTTGTGACCGCTTGCTTGTGCTCGGAATTTGTGTTGTATCCTTGAGATCCACCCTGAGCTTTGCTTTGCTTTGCCTTGCTTTGACTGGTCTTGTGACCATCTAGTTGTCTCCCACTTAGCCTATGGGGGTGTGTCAAACATTATATGTTTACATTGTGTAGGCTATAGTGGGTTTAGCCTTAGGGGGTACAACAAACTTAGGGTTTCCTACTTGTACCCAACTTTCTGTTAGAAAGAACGAAACAGGAATGATTGAACTAGCAGAAAGTTGGGTACAAGTAGGAAACCCTAAGTTTGTTGTACCCCCTATGGCTAAACCCACTATAGCCTAGACAATATAAACATACAATGTTTGACACCGCCCTGCCGCCGCCGCCCGTGCGCTGCCCGTGCACCGCTGCTGCCCATGCGCTGTTGCCGCCCGTGCTCCGCACCGCCGCCGCTGCCGCCCGTGCGCTGCACCGCCGTTGCTGCCGCCCTTGCGCCGCTGCCGCCCGTGCGCCGCACCGCCGCCGCTGCCGCCCGTGCGCTGCACTGCCGCTGCTGCCGCCCTTGCGGCACTCCCGCATATGTATATGTCTTAACTCGTACATACACATGGGTCCCCTATAAAAAGAACTCCCATTTATAAGAATCCACCCTAATTAAAGACACCATTGTCTTCAATGCGACATTATCTTCTATCCGGGTGATGACGGTAGCATCGGGATAGTCGCTGCCACTGTACCGATGCTTGTAATACGTTTGAATAAGGGAATGTGCCCCTCAAAATACATGGCTAGCTATGACAATATAACTCAATTTCATAATCCCAGTCACTAGATAACTGGGAAAAAAGGGCTTGTTAAGTAGCGGGTCAGTACACCCATAGCGCCCCAAGCTCGCAAGCCTATAACCCTTCCCTAGGATCAACCGGGCATCCCCGGTGCTGGTCCTCTGACAACCCCCCTCACAGGGATGCCTTAAGACACGACACTGCGGCAGCGCCAGCATGTGCACATATGGGGATTCGAACACAGGACCTTCGTTTTGATACCATGTCAGAATCCGAGTCGCTATACCAATGTGGTAAAATGGCTTGTTAAAGCCCAACACCTGAATTTCTCAACGGAAGTCAACGGGGGGCAAAACTGTGGGTTGCGGCAGGCAAACTGTGCATTGTTTGGGTTTTTTTTCTTCTTATGTAATTAGGGTCTTGGGCTTTAAGTAGCGGATTAGTGCGCTGTCAAGACACTAACTTAGTAGACTAGGGTTTGAGAAGAGAGAGGTGGCCAAAAGAGGGGTTTGCAATATGAGAGAGTTACAAGATATAGGTAGAAAAGGTGGACGAAGGGGGGTATACCACCAAGGCCCTACACTACTAGCTAAAACATGCAATTATATGAGAATACACCATATTTTAACATCCCCCCTTAATTGCATGCAGACTAGTTGGTGTAGGGAGCGCATCAATCACCGTGCAGCAGCTGGGCCCTTCGGTAGGATACCCGCCTGCGGTTTAACCCCCGCAGTGGATGCCCGGTGAGAGCGACGAGGGGCGAACACGCCCAGAGACGACGGAAAAGAGGGGCCTAATCTCTCTCTCTCTCTCTTTCTCTCCACCCCCGTAACCTCCCTCTCCTCCCCCCTTAACCTCTTCCCTCCCCCCCCCCCACAGCAAGAAGTGCTGTAGGGAGAGAGGAAGAGGGAGGAGGGACGGGCTGCCGGCTGCTCACACCCGCCACCCCCACATCTCCCCCTCCCCCTCCCCACGACGGAAGCCGCGGAAGGGGGGGCGGGGGGGGGGTTAGCTGCTGCCGGCGCTGGCGCCGTCATTTACGCTGGCGCTGGCGCTGGCGCTGGCGCCGGTCGCAGGTGCTGGCGCTGGCGGTCCGCGCTGGCGCTGGCGCTTGCGCTCACTGCTGGCCGTGGCGCTGGCGCCCGCGCTGGCGACAGGAAGGGCGCGCGCGGGGCAGCCGACGGGGCGTCCGCGGGGCAGCCGACGGGGCGCGCGCAGGGCGACGGGCAGGGCGCGCGCAGGGCAGCCGACGGGGCGCGTTCGGGGTGACGGGCACAGGGCGCGACGGGCAAGACGAAAAACGGGCAGAGCGCAGTGCACGACGGGGAGGGCGCAACGGGCGCGACGGATGGGCCCATGATTCTTAAAAAAAAGGAGGTCCTTAGACCGTGCAGGGCTCTGATAGCATGTCAAGACACTAACTTAGTAGACTAGGGTTTGAGAAGAGAGAGGTGGCCACCAAGATATAGGTAGAAAAGGTGGACGAAGGGGGGTATACCACCAAGGCCCTACACTACTAGCTAAAATATGCAATTATATAAGAATACACCATATTCTAACATGCGCCCATAACCCCCAACCCCATGCTCGCAAGCCTGTAACAATTCCCTAGGATCAACTGGGCATCCCCAGTGCTGGTCTTCTGACACTCAGTGCATGTAATGTTTTATCTTGCTTTTTACATTTACTATGGCAAGGTCTAATCTAACTAAAACTTTTGCCGTCTTCAAATCAGTGGTTTATCCCATCCAATACATTCAATGGACTATTTAACAGTTTACATCATGAGACATTATAATAAGGGATTTTTTTGAATACTAGCATTCAAATTGACATCACCATCCTTTACGGTAAAATGATGAGGTATCATCTGTTTGTATATATGATGTAAACTAAATGCATCTGGCTCAAAAAGTATCAGGTACTTATTTGAACCTACAGATTGTTTGGAAGGGAAGCCTGCTTTCCACAGCTCCCAAAAGTGTGATCGAAGCTCCTGCAAACCACCTATGAGTCCACGTCAGTCACAGCGACTACAGCTGTGAGGGAATCCCAGGCCACGCGTAACACGCTCGGCCTTGCCACTTGTCTCAGCAACATCTGTATGCCCGGCAACATCAAGGCGCACTGATTGAGATAACGAAACTTGTTGGCGATGGTAACACTATGTCGCATATTATATTTACAGTGCTACACCTCCTATGAAACTACGCTTACACGGGGTATTCTTGAAACTTGAAACCAATTGGGCTGGCCAACGTTGGGATTGGTTGCATTAGTTCCCCGAGTGATCACCTCAGTCGCTTCTTCACCTTATCCTCAAATCCGTTCTTAGTCAAGTCTCCTAAGAACCTCTAGCAGCTCTCAGCTTGGTGCTAGAGCAACCTTCCGTTATAGAAGCCATGGCTTCTTTGAGCATTCAAGCAGCCGCGCAGGCCCTGGGGTCGCTTTCCCTCTCCTCCCATCAACTATCGGCCTCATCCAGCAGAGTGTCGCTTGGAGACTCACTTAGGGTTTCGAGCTTCCGCGGCTGCCGGCTCGCTGGTACGCGTTTGTTTTCTCACCGATTAGTTGTTTTGCGCTTCGACTGCGATAATCGCATGCGTAATGTACTCTTGCGCTTGTCAAGCGGAATGAGAAGGGACATGCACTTATCAGGTAGAATGCGAATCAGGTGGAGCACTTGTCAGTTCGGAATAACGTGTAAAGAAGCGTGCACCAATCAGGTGGATTGCGAAGGAGCCTGTAAACATTCTACCTTAAATCAGGTAGAATGTGACGAAACATGTGCTTATCGGGTTCAAGCTAATATCTTCGAAGCCGTAGGCGTTCTAGTCGACGATCACCGTAGGTCTCCTAGTTGCCTATTACCTAAGGTTCAGCCGTAGGCTTATTGGATGCCGGTCACCTAAGGATCAGGCGTGGGTGTTATTCGCATTTCCCGGTTGCCGACCCTGCCCTAGTCACTTTCGATAGTAATGTTCGCTTGAGCCACACTAATGTTTCACAAGAAGCAGTATATGCATTTGATGCCTAAATTATGGCTTAGGCCTTGGAATCGTGGTACCAATGTTCCACACGAAGCAGGATTGATTGGCAGACTCTGCTCTTAAGTGAACATCAAGCGTACTGCCGGCTCTATAGCCGGCTCTATTGCCGGCTCCGTACCGTCCCGACGAACTCACATCGTTTTCATATTTTCCACTGGCACCGTCCCACATTACAGCTGTCAGGAGGCCACCTGCTGCTCATTGCCTCAGCTTTCTTACTCACGCCCACACCCACTCATCCTCCCTCACCTCGTCACCCCCCACTCCCCCTCCCCACCGCTCCTCCCCCGTCTCCCCCTTCCCCTTTCCCCCTGCCATTTCCGTCCTCTTCTCCCATCCTTCACCGCAGCTGCTACCCGGCCATCTGCTGTCGTCGCCGCGGCCAGGTGTCCCGCCGTGGTGGCCGCCGCCGCCGTCACTCCCACCGTGGCTGCCGCCGCCGGCAAGGACAAGCCGAAGAAGAAGGTGGACTCCGCCGTGAAGCGCGCCAAGCAGGCGGAGGTGCGGCGGGTGTACAACAAGTCGCGGAAGACGGAGATGAGCACGCGCATGAAGAAGGTGCGTCTTTTTTTTCCGACTTTTTGGTATTCAGGTGTGAAAGCATATGCAGCCGGACTAGAAAGTGGGCTGGTTGGTGCTCGAGTAAGCTAGCCCGGAAAGCGAAGGAATCAGGTCGGAAGTGGTGCGGAAACAGCGAAGAGAAGACGGGGAGGGAGGGCGGGGAGGGATGGGATGATGGGTTACGCGGAGCAAGGTGGTTTGGATGCGGAAGCAGGGGGGCGAAGTCTCTGAAGCAGCAAAGGAGAGGATGAAGCGGGGAGGAGGAAGCGGGTAGGCGGAAGTGGGAGACGGAAGAGGGGAAGCGGAAGAGTGGAGGCGGAATCGGTGATGCTGAGATGCGGAACGCGGGAGGCAGGAGTTGCGGAAGCTGCGGGGATAAACGCGGGGGATCAGGCAGAGGGGATAAGAAGGGGATACGGTGGAGGGATCCAAGCAGGGGAGAAGTAAGGAGCGAAATGCAAGGAAGCGAAGCTTTCACGGAGGAGGAGGGGGGGACGTTAGAGGCAGTGAGAAACAGAGGGCGGGAAAGGGGAGGGAGAGAGGTCGAGTCAGAGACGGGGAAGGAGGAGCGGGACAAATGAGTTGAGGGGGAGAGCGGAAGGTGGCGACGTGTGCGTGAAATGGTTTGCGGAAGGAGAGAGAAGGAGATGGCGGGAGAAGGAGGGAGAGGAAGAGCGGCCTAGCGTTGTTCCTTGAGTCAGCACATTTGACAACCGGAGATGTTGCAGTGCCACGTGATTATAGTCCGAAGCAGACTGAGGCAGAGTGACGCAGAGCGGTAACAGACTGAAGCAGGCTGATCATTGAGTGGTTCAGTCAGTCAGGAGGCGTCGCACCGTCAAACGCCAGGGAGGGGTCTGGGCATGAATAGTCGCAGTGCCCATTTGACTGCACGGATTTCTCAGGAAAAACAGGGGCTGAGTTTTCCTAGAGTCCCTGGTGCAACTGCCAGTCTTCCTCTCTCATGAACGCTTTGTTATCCTGGCGAATGCGAACAGTACCTGAGCAGATGTGGCCGGAAGAAGGGGCAGTATCAAGCAGAGGCAATGCATAGCAGCAATTTTGGATCACAAGGCGGGGAGGAGAGGGAGGGGTGGGCGGGAAGGGAGGGTGCGCCCCAGCAGGGAGAACGTGAAGCAGGCGAAGTGAGAAGCATGGGGATTGATCAAGGGCTGTGCCTCTCCCAAGAGCTCCCTCTCACCCCTTTTCCCTTTTCTCTCCCTCCTTCCTTCCTGCCTCTGTAGGAGCTGCGTAAGTGAAATTCCCCACCAGAGGAGCAGCTGCTGGCAACAGCGAAGCCCATCTCATGCAACCCTCACGTTTGACATGCTCCTGGTATTCGTATACACCCCTATGCCTTCCTCCTGCCTCAGGCGTTCCTTGCTCTGGAGGAGCTGCGCAAGAGTGCGTCGCCATCGGAGGAGCAGCTGCTGGCAACAGAGAAGCCCAACTCATGCCTCCCGTTTGTTCCCCCCTCTTTCTTCTCTCACCTCTCCCTCCCTGCCACAGGCGTTCCTGGCCCTGGAGGAGCTGCGCAAGAGTGCGTCCCCGTCGGAGGAGCAGCTGCTGGCAGCAGAGAAGCTCATCTCGGAGGCCTTCTGTTTCCCTCTCCCTTTTTCCCTTCTTTTCTTTTCCTGCCAGGCGTTCCTTGCCCTGGAGGAGCTTAGCAAGAGTGCGTTGCTGTCGGAGGAGCAGCTGCTGGCGGCAACGAAGCTCATTTCATGCAACCCTAACGTTTGACTTGTATTTGTTCGTTTGCCTCCTTGCCAGGCGTTCCTTGCCTTGGAGGAGCTGCGCAAGAGCGCATCGCCATCGGAGGAGCAGCTGGTGGCAGCAGAGAAGCTCATCTCGGAGGCCTTCTGTTTCCCTCTCCGCTTTTCCCCTTCTTTTCTTTTCCTGCCAGGCGTTCCTGGCTCTGGAGGAGCTGCGCAAGAGTGCATCCCCATCGGAGGAGCAGCTGGTGGCGGCAGAGAAGCTCATCTCGGAGGCCTTCTCCATCATCGACCGATCGGTGAAGGTCAACGCCATTCACCAGAACAAGGGCGCGCGCCGCAAGGCTCGGCTCTCCCGGGCCAAGCGTGCCACGCTGGTTTCTCTTGGCTGGTACACTCAGCCTGTTGTTGCGACTGCTTAGAGGGGTTTTAGGTGTTGGAAAGGTTTGGATGGAATGGTGTTTGTTTATAGAAGTTGCGATGGCATGCTTTATTGTAATTGATTGTTACAGCTGCTCTCAACAAACTTCTGTTCTCAGAACCAAGTTCAAACTAGCCAGTTTTAGATTGTGCCTTAGAATTTTGCATAAGAGATCATGAACACTAATTGACCAGGTGTACCCTGATTTTCACGCACCTCGATCTTCCGGCTTTTGAGCCTACGGCGGTTCAGTTTCGGTTCGCCTCAAGTTTTCCAGCCAGTTCGGTACAAATGAACTACAAAATGTGGGAGGTGTTGCTTCGTGCACGTGATTTCAGTCAGCCAGGCCTACTTTGTTTCGCGACACAACGCGTTTGCTTGCAAACTGCGTTTTTCAGCGATCTCAGAATCAGCCGAACCTGACACAAGGCTGAGCAGTTCGCACCTCAGTTCGATTTTCAGCGATCTCAGAATCAGCCGAACCTGACACAAGGCTGAGCAAATCGCACCTCAGTTCGAGTGACTCTCGGAAGTTCTGTTTCAGAACCTGGCTGAACCTCGAGGAGCTGAACTGAACCGAGTGCGGCGAACTGAACCAAATCGGCGAGGAGGTTTGTCTCCTTGTGCAATCTGGTTCGTTCTGCAGCCGCTGGCGTTACCAGAGGTGCAGCACGTGGAGTTCCTTAGGTTGGAAGTAACCAAGTAACTAAGAGCTGCCTGAAATTTGCTTGCGTGTAATCCGCAGGACTGTTGGCAGAGGGACCGTAGTCGACGGAGCCGCGGTTGACGGATCATTATACTTACGGAGCGCACTTCTTTGTCGAACCTTTAAAGTGATGCAAGGAAGGTGTTTCTAGTACGTAGCGCTGTTCAAAAGACTTAGACCCTCGCTGCATCGCATCACTGAAAAAGCTAGTGCTTCTAGAAGGATCACCATGGCACGGTCAACGATTCTGTCGCCGCTTCACGGAGAAATTCCTTCTTTGCTTCGCCAATCAGGATCCTCCACGTCTCTCTTCCCTTCAGCTGGTCAGCTCCGCCGAGTCCCTTACCTATCCGATCCTCGGTACGGTCTCGCGCGATTCCGTTATAAAGCTACAACCAGACCGGGAGCCACGCGTAGCTTGTTTCCCAAAGGAAATCTGCAGGATGGGGGTAGTTTCGACCATAAATTTCAGCCAAGGAGTGTCAAGGCAGGGAGAGACGGCAACGGGAAGAGGAGGGTGGTGTTACCAGTGACTCGCGCTGCTGTTACAGCTGGTAACCCGGTTGACGAAGGATCTGGGGACGCACCCGTTGGGCGAAAGAGTAACGCACAGCAGGCTGCATTACACAGGGTAAGGTGTTGGGGGTGGATGCAACTAGGAGGACAGAGAAGAGAATGTGGGAAGGGAGGAGAGGAGAGAGAATATGTAGAGGAAAGAATGCAGTGAAGGGAGGTTCTTTTAAGGAGCGGTAGGAGGCATGGTATCATGGCATGACAAGGAAGCATGGGTAACATGACATGACAAAGATGGTACCATGACATGACACGGATGGTACCATGGCATGGCAAGGATGGTACCATGGCATGACAAAGATGGTACCATGACATGACACGGATGGTACCATGGCATGGCAAGGATGGTACCATGGCATGACAAAGATGGTACCATGACATGACAAAGGAAGCATGGGTATCATAGCATGACACGGATGGTATCATGACATGACAGGGATGGTATCATGACATGACGATGCATGACAAGGATAACGTCTCGTTCTCCTCCACTCCGCGTAACCCCCTCCTCCCTCAACACCTGGGTGGTGCACCACTTCCGCTACCTCGTCGCCCACCCCCAAAATTCTGTACACTCCGCCTCTCTCTCCCCCTCTCCCCCCTCCCCTCTACAGAGCACGCTAGACATGATAAAGAGCGAGAAGCTGGGCAATCTATCTCTCAACACCTGGGTGGCACTGGTACACCACTTACGCCACCTCGTGGCCCAATCCCCCAAAATTCTTCACTCTCCGCCTATTTTTCCTCTACTCACCCCCCCACAGAGCACGCTAGACATGATAAAGAGCGAGAAGCTGGGCATCCTCTCTCTCAACACCTGGGTGGTGCACCACTTCCGGCACCTCGTGGCACAAGTCAACGCCTTGGAACCCGCAATGCAGGCACTGACGGACAAGCAGGTGTGTAACGTGTTACAATAAGGCGAGAGTGCGAGAATGTGTGAGGTGTGAGTGTGTGGGTGGGTGGTGCACCACTTCCGGCACCTCGTGGCGCAGGTAAATGCTTTGGAGCTCACGATGCAGGGACGGACAAACAGGTGCGAAGTAACAAGTCTGAGTGGATTACGCACGATTTTGTTGTGTGGTGTGGGTTGCCCTCACAGGTCTATGCCCTGGAGCCAGCCGGCAATGCACGCACAAACAGGTGCTTCCGAATACAAGAAGAGTAGAGACTATTGTAAGGAGAATTGCCCATTGTCCAGGAGCTCGTATTGAGTCACCGTTACCAGGCCAGGCCTGTCAACATCCTTGTTACTGATTAAAAGTGTATGAAGAAGTGTTTTGAGACGTCTCAAAACACTTCTTCATACACGTAGAGTCACCGTTACCAGGCCAGGCCTGTCCACATCCTTGTTACTGACATCAAGACAGTCCTTTCTCTTGTCGTGCTGCAGGTGCAGCAGTGGCACAAGATGCGTTACTTGCATGTTCGTAGGGACTAATAGTACCCCTGGTTTGTTGTGTCACTTTGACCAGGCCAGGCCTAATCACAGCCTTGTTACTGGCATCAGTCCTTTCTCTGCTTCTGCTTGTGTTGCAACTCCAGCGCAACTTGCAATATTTGCGTGTCCGTAGGGAGGAGTTTTAACAACTGGTCTGGTCTGTTGTGTCCCTTTGACCAGGAGTTTTAACAATATTAGCCTAGCCACAGCCCCGTTACTGATATCAGTCCTTTCTCTTCTTTCTGCTCGTGCTGCAGTTGCGGCGCAAGACACGCCACGTGTATGAAGAAGTGTTTTGAGACGTCTCAGAACACTTCTTCATACACCAGGCCAGGCCTAGCCACAGCCCCGTTACTGATATCAGTCCTTTCTCTTCGTTCTGGTCGTGCTGCAGTTGCGGCGCAAGACACGCGAGTTCAAGAAGCGGCTGAAGCAGGGAGAGACACTGGATGACATACAAGCAGGTAGGAGACGGTTCTGTGCGGTGTAGGCTGTTGCATGTTCTAGATCTTGTGTGATATGCTGCCGTCGCTGCTTCCCTCCCTTTTCTTCCGCACTGCAAGAGCATATAGATATTATTTTAAGTTGTAAAATGACTATTTACACGTTTTTCACCAGGAGGAAGTTTCTCGAATTCTCGCACGTGCCTGGTGAGGTGACCCCTCGTTTTTTGAAGTCCCGAAATGTTGTGTCTCTGTTCTGTGCTGCTTTTGCGTGCGCCGCCGCCCTTTTGCCCCTACCTACTTGCCCGTGGCCTCTCAGAGGCATTTGCTGTGGTGCGCGAGGCTGCTCAGCGCACCCTATGCATGCGACATTTTGACGTGCAGGTGGGTGGGTGTGCATGTGGTTGTGTATGCGTGTGTTCTCAGGGGAAGTGGGTAAGGTAAAATGTTGGTGTGCACGCGTCCCCTTCCCTGCTCCCAACTCCTCCTCACTCCTCTTCACTCCCCCACTCTCGTGCATATCGTGGGATGGGCTGTGCTGCAGAGACGGAGACAGGCGGGGGGAAGTCTCTGGTGTGGTGTCCAGTCAATGCGTTCTCGCTCCTCCTCATCTCCCCTACCCCACACTCACACTAAATCCTCGCTCTCTATTGTGCAGATTGCAGGAGGGGCAGAGTTTTACGCAGGGGCTATAGCAGCGATGAAGTTGATTTGAGTGCAGCAGTTAGTGCACTCACTTCACGTCTCCTCTCCTCACTCCTCTCCTCGCGCCTCTTCTCACCTCTCCTCTCACTCTACTCGTCCAGATCGTGGGAGGGGCAGTGCTGCATGCAGGGGCGATAGCCGAGATGAAGACAGGCGAGGGGAAGACTCTGGTATCCACGCTCGCAGCTTATCTCAACGCCCTCGTGGGGAAGGGCGTGCACGGTGAGGGCCCATCTGGGGAAGGTGTATGCTATGCAGGGCAGCAGGATAGCACTGATCAACGGGCGAGGGGAAGACGCTGGTATCCACACTGGCAGCTTACCTCAACGCCCTTGTGGGGAAAGGGGTTCACGGTGAGGGCTCATCTGGGGAAGGTGTGTATGCATAGCAGCAGGATGACATGCACCAGAGTCGAGTAGTATGCAGCAGGATAGCACTGAGTTGACTTTTGAGTGGACTCAAAAGTCAACTCGGTGTATGCAGAGCAGCAGAATGACATGCACCAGAGTCGATTAGTATGCAGCAGGATAGCACTGAACAGCAGGCGAGGGGAAGACTCTGATGTCCACGCTCGCAGCTTCCCTCAACGCCCTTGTGGGCAAGGGCGTGAATGGCGAGGGCCCAGCTGGGGAAGGTGTGTATTTAGTGCAGCAGGATGGCATGCACCAGAGTCGAGTAGTATGCAGCAGGATAGCACTGAACAAGAGGCGAGGGGAAGACTCTGGTGTCCACACTGCCAGCTTACCTCAACGCCCTTGTGGGCAAGGGCGTGCATGGTGAGGGTTCATCTGGTAAAGGGCGTGCATGGTGAGGGCACATCTGGGGAAGGTGTATGCAGCAGGATTGAACAATGGGTGTGAAGACGGGCGAGGGGAGGACTCTGGTGTCCACGCTCGCAGCTTACCTCAACGCCCTCGTGGGCAAGGGCGTGCATGGTGAGGGCTCATCTGCACCTTTTCCCCATCCCGTTCCCTTTCCTGTAGAATGGTTTTCCATGCCGTTTTACGCCGTATCCTTGGCCCATCCCATACCCTTCCCCATCCTGGCCCCAAGTCCTGTGGAGTGGGCTGCACAGTGGGCTTCGATTTCGCTCAAAATTCGAATTTTGAGTTGACTCAAAACACGATTTTTGAAGCGCCTCAAGAATCATCCTGGTCCCTCCCGGCCCCTCGTCCTCTGGAGTGGGCTGCACACTGGGCGTTGATTTCCCTCTGTATTCGCTTCCTCCCCTTCCTCTCGCCTTTCTTTTCCTTGCCTTTTCCACCCAGTGGTAACGGTTAAGAAATACGTGGCGAGGAATGGAATGGATTGGGCGGGAAGTGGAGGGATGCGGACCAGCATTTTTTGGCTTTAATTCGAACCATTCTTCCCCTTCCCCCACCCTTCTGTGCCTTCCCTCGCCTTTCTGTGCCTTCCTTTGTTGTCCCAGTGGTAACGGTGAATGACTATTTGGCAAGGAGGGATGCTGAGTTGATGGGGCGGGTGCACGGCTTTCTGGGGCTGTCAATGGGGGTCATCCAGGTAAGCAAAGCAGACTGAATGGGGTGGGTGTGTGCGATGCACACACTCAAAGGGGATGGGAACGGGATGGGGCGGGTGCACGGCTTTCTGGGGCTGTCAGTGGGGGTCATTCAGGTGAGCGAATCATCCTGAATGGGGTGGGTGTGTGCGATGCACACACTCAAAGGGGATGGGAACGGGATGGTGCGGGTGAACAGCTTTTCTGGGGCTGTCAGGGGGGGTAATTTTAGGTGGGCTATACCAGAAAGCCTAGGGTAACTGAGATGGGTGTCATTCAAAAAGGGGGTGTCATTTTACTGAGTGTGATCCAGGCGATTGATCCCGTCTGGATAAGTAAAGGATTTGATCTGATCTGATGCGTCACATCACTTTGACTTGACACATGTCTAATTTAAGACTGCAGCAGCAGCAGCAGCAGCGCATCTCCTGATGCATCTTTTTTCCTTTGCGGTGCACCAGCAGTCCTCCTGCTGCACACCTCTGTTTTTTCCCTTTGCACCCACTTACACCACTCTTCATCCCTTGTCACCTTCAGCTGCATCTGGATATCTTGTCTCTTCTGCATCTCCCTGTCCGTTTCTGCATTGTTTGTTCCTTTCTGTATGTCTTTACCATCGCGCAGCCCGGGCAGACAAAAGAGGAGAGACAGCTTGCGTACGCTTGCGACATTACCTATGGTAGCAACAACGTGAGTGAGTGGGTTGTAACACATTTATGGCGTTTTTTCTAGGCGCCTTAGAAGACGATTCTTGAGGCGCCTTAAAAGCCGATTCTTGAGGCGCCTCAGAGACAGCTTGCGTATGCATGTGACATTACCTATGGTAGCAACAACGTGAGTATGATGTAATGCATGTGGCAGTAACAACGTGAGAGAGATGTGACGCATGTGGCAGCATCAACGTAAGTATCATCTAACGCATGTGGCATTTCAAAACTTCATCTGGCCCTGTCCTATAAACCCTGTCTGTTCTGTATGTCAGGAGATCGGGCTCTGTACCATCTACCTGTGGAACCATCTAATACAAGCGCCAAATGAACAGCTCTTGGGACAGCTCTCTCCCGTGTTTTCTTACATCCATCTCAGGAGATTGGGTTCGACTACCTGCGGGGCCACCTAGTTCAGGACCCAAACGAGCGCACGCTGAGGTGGCCAGATGCTTCCTACACCTCCCGCCCACCCGCCTCCCTTGCCAAACCCACCTTACAGGAGATCGGATTCGACTACCTGCGGGACCACCTGGTTCAGGACCCAAACGAGCGCACGCTGAGATGGCCAGACGCGCCGCACTACTCGATTGTGGATGAAATTGACTCTTGAGGGGTCCCAATCCCTGTTCCTGCACTGTATCTTCCCTGTCCTGTCGTACCCACATACCAGGAGATTGGATTTGACTATCTTAGGGACCATCTAGTTCAGGAGCCAAACGAGCGCACGCTGAGATGGCCAGACGCACTGCACTACTCCATTGTGGACGAGATTGACTCTGATCTGAGGGGCCTCAAAGCACCTTCCCCCACTGTCTCCTCTCTTCCCTGTCCTGCCGTGCCCACATATCAGGAGATTGGTTTTGACTACCTGCGCGACCACCTAGTGCAGGAACCGAATGAGCGCACACTGAGATGGCCAGACGCACTGCACTACTCCATTGTGGACGAGATTGACTCTGTGCTCATCGATGAGGGCAGGAACCCTCTTCTTATCAGCAACATGGTGAGTGCTCAAAGCCAGATAGTGGGTGCAACATGTCTGCCAGTTTGTCTATGAAAATTGCGAACTAGAAATGAGTTTGACACGTTGAGATGGCCAGACGCGCTCCACTACTCCATTGTGGACGAGATTGACTCTGTGCTCATTGATGAGGGCAGGAACCCTCTGCTCATCAGCAACATGGTGAGTGCCTCTATCCCTCTTTCCTCTCATGCGCTGCACTGCACTACTCCATTGTGGACGAGATTGACTCGGTGCTCATTGATGAGGGCAGGAACCCGCTGCTCATCAGCAACATGGTGAGTCAGTGCGGTGCTGCAGTGCCTCAGTGGCACCTGCCTGTTCAGTGCAATCGCCTGGTCACTGCCACCTTCCTGCCTTCCTCCCATGCGCTGCACTACTCCATCGTGGACGAGATCGACTCTGTGCTCATGGTGAGTGTGTGTTAGTGCCTCAATGCCACTATGCTTCAGTGCCTCAGTGCCTCGGTGCCTCACTGCCGACTGCCTCCTCCTCCCACGCGCTCCACTACTCCATTGTGGACGAGATTGACTCTGTGCTCATCGACGAGGGCAGGAACCCTCTCCTCATCAGCAACATGGTGAGTGTGTCAGTGCCACTTTCATGGCCAGTCAGTGCGTGCCTTAGTGCCTCAATGCCACTATGCTTCAGTGCCTGTGCTGTGCCTCGGTGCCTCACCGCCGACTGCCTCCTCCTCTCTGCGCTGCACTACTCCATTGTGGACGAGATTGATTCCGTGCTCATTGACAAGGGCAGGAACCCGCTCCTCATCAGCAACATGGTCAGTCAATGCCTCAGTGCCGCACAGTGTCTTGGTGCCTCCCATCAGCAACAGTGCTGCAGTGCTGCCTGCCTCCCTCCTCTCTCGCCACTACTCCATTGTGGACGAGATTGACTCTGTGCTCATTGATGAGGGCAGGAACCCCCTGCTCATCAGCAACATGGTGAGTCAATGCCTCAGTGCCGCACAGTGCCTTAGTGCCTCCCATCAGCAACAGTGCTGCAGTGCTGCCTGCCTCCCTCCTCTCTCGCCACTACTCCATTGTGGACGAGATTGACTCTGTGCTCATTGATGAGGGCAGGAACCCCCTGCTCATCAGCAACATGGTCAGTCAATGCCTCAGTGCCGCACAGTGCCTTAGTGCCTCCCATCAGCAACAGTGCTGCAGTGCTGCCTGCCTCCCTCCTCTCTCGCCACTACTCCATTGTGGACGAGATTGACTCTGTGCTCATTGATGAGGGCAGGAACCCCCTGCTCATCAGCAACATGGTGAGTCAATGCCTCAGTGCCGCACAGTGCCTTAGTGCCTCCCATCAGCAACAGTGCTGCAGTGCTGCCTGCCTCCCTCCTCTCTCGCCACTACTCCATTGTGGACGAGATTGACTCTGTGCTCATTGATGAGGGCAGGAACCCCCTGCTCATCAGCAACATGGTGAGTCAATGCCTCAGTGCCGCACAGTGCCTTAGTGCCTCCCATCAGCAACAGTGCTGCAGTGCTGCCTGCCTCCCTCCTCTCTCGCCACTACTCCATTGTGGACGAGATTGACTCTGTGCTCATTGATGAGGGCAGGAACCCCCTGCTCATCAGCAACATGGTGGTGAGTCAATGCCTCAGTGCCGCACAGTGCCTTAGTGCCTCCCATCAGCAACAGTGCTGCAGTGCTGCCTGCCTCCCTCCTCTCTCGCCACTACTCCATTGTGGACGAGATTGACTCTGTGCTCATTGATGAGGGCAGGAACCCCCTGCTCATCAGCAACATGGTGGTGAGTCAATGCCTCAGTGCCGCACAGTGCCTTAGTGCCTCCCATCAGCAACAGTGCTGCAGTGCTGCCTGCCTCCCTCCTCTCTCGCCACTACTCCATTGTGGACGAGATTGACTCTGTGCTCATTGATGAGGGCAGGAACCCTCTTGTTATCAGCAACATGGTGAGTGCTCAAAGCCAAATAGTGGGTGCAACATGTCTGCCAGTTTGTCTAAGAAAATCGCGAACTACAAATGAGTTTGACACGTTGAGATGGCCGGACGCGCTGCGATGCACTACTCCATTGTGGGGTAGTGCAGTGCGTCTGGCCATCTCAGCGTGCGTCTGGACACGTTGAGATGGCCGGACGCGATGCGATGCGCTGCGATGCAGTACTCCATTGTGGGGTAGTGCAGTGCGTCTGGCCATCTCAGCGTGCGTCTGGACACGTTGAGATGGCCGGACGCGATGCGATGCGCTGCGATGCACTACTCCATTGTGGGGTAGTGCAGTGCGTCTGGCCATCTCAGCGTGCGTCTGGACACGTTGAGATGGCCGGACGCGATGCGATGCGCTGCGATGCACGTGGCTGCTGAAATAGCAAATTTGATTTGATTTGTGTGCTCCCTGGCCACCCATCCATCCTCCCCTATCGTTCCCTCTCTCACTCACTTTCCGTGTGTGCAGTCCTCCTCCTACGTCATGCGCTTCCCTGTGGCTGCTCAAGTGGCGGAGATCCTCAGAAGGGACATTGTGAGTGCTCATTCAATCTATGCACATGGCACCTTTCAGGTCCCTTTCATCATGTGTTGTGTTGTGCAGTGCTCCCCCCACATCATGCGCGCTTCCCAGTGGCAACTATAGTGGCAGAGTTCCATCGATCGGACATTGTGAGTGGGAGCGATTCACTGAAAGCACATACTACTGAGGTGCCTTAGAAATATACTCTTTATGTGCAGTCTTGCTACCACGTCATGTGCTTCGCAGTTGCGGCTAAGCGGCAGAAATCCATCGAAGGGACATTGTGAGTGCTCGTTTGATCAAAGCACGAGCGGGAGGGGGGGTGGTGTGGGCAAAAAAGTGCATCGGGGTTTGTACAAAGAGTAGTAGACCAATCGTGCATGCGAAATGACTAGTCGTGACTCGTGAGACCTCTCGAAGCAGGGCAGGAGAGGCAGAGCTGAAGCTGTGTACCTCTGCCTCTGCCTCCTATACTTTTTTACCGACCAGTCACACCAGACTGGCAAGTTCTGGCAACTGCCTGCTTCATCGTGTGATGAGTCGATTTTTGAGTCGACTCAAAAATCGACTCAAGTTCTGGCAACTGCCTGCTCCCTCGTGTGATGAGTCGACTCAAGTTCTGGCAACTGCATCTTTCCCCAGCTTCCTCACCTTCCCTTCCATCCGCACCAGGACTACACGGCAGGCCTTGAAGTTGCGTACAGTGCAGCTCACCGACTCGGGGGTGGCATGAGAAACGGGCTGCTGAGACATGCCAAGGATCCTGTTCTACGCACCATGGCATACATCCCCACTGATGTAGCCCCTGTTCTACGCAGCCCCTTTCCCTCTCTCAACTCAACAAGCTCTGCCCGTTTCCCAACCCCCACCACCAGGACTACACGGCAGACCTGAAGCTGCGTACAGTGCAGCTCACCGACTCGGGTGTGGCTGTAGTGGCAGAGACACGTGATGTTTCATGTTCTCTCCCCTTTTCTCCTCCCTTTCCTCTCCATTTCCTCCCACCCCCAACCAGGACTACACGGCAGACCTGAAGCTGCGCACGGTGCAGCTGACAGACTCGGGGGTGGCGATCGTAGCAGAGAGCTTGCGGAGCGAGGATGCCCCAGCAGAGGGGGAGGGGGAGGGGGCGAGGGAGGGCGAGGGGGGGAATGGAGGTGAAGGAGGGGAAGGTTCGGATTCGGATGATATTTTTGAAAGCAGCAACTCGTTTGCTCAGTGAGTGGGCTGCATCTCGTGCTTGTGCGAGCTTCTGATTTTCTTTTTCTTTCTCTTTTTTTTTTATCTGCAGATAGCAACTCGTTTGTGACAAATGGGACTCCTACTTCGTTCTTTCTATTCCTACTATGCTCTCAGTCCTCCTGTCTTCCCGCCCTCATCCAGCTTCTGTCTTCTGTACCCTTCTGTTTGGGGTCTGGGGTTTGCTGACGGCGCTCATTTCAAAGGAGTGGGTTTGCGTTGACTTTTGAGGGATTGTATGACCTTCCCAACCCCTTTCTTCCATCCCGCCCTTCCTTTTCTTGTCTAGGTTTGTACTGACGGCCCTCAAAGCAAAGGAGTTTTACCTGAGGGATCGAGACTACATTGTGAAGGACGGCCAAGTGATTATAGTGGACGAGGTACGAGATTATTGTGATTGCAGTGCATTGGATGCGATGGGGTGTGGAACCGTACCGGGTGGACAGGGAACATACAGCGGTTGAGTGAATTGCATGGAACCGCATTCCACAGGCTGGTTGTCATCAAAGCTCCATCCCCATGCCCGTGTCCCAACTCCCTCCCATTCTCCAGCTATCCTCACACCAACCCCCCAACCTCCCGTCCACTCTCTCAACCTTCCGCACCCCTTTCCCCCACCCGTCGCCCCCCAACACCTGCAGTTCATGGGGAGAACAGCGGACATGCGGCCGTGGAGTGACGGCATTCACGAGGCTGGACCATTACCTTGTCCCCACATGCTTCGTTCATCCTCTTTCTCAACAGTATAAGCACCTCAAGTGCTTCCTTTTCCCCCTTTCACCCCCTTACCCTCGCTGCAGTTCACGGGGAGAACAGCAGACATGCGGCGGTGGAGCGACGGCATTCACCAGGCAGTCGAGGCGAAAGAGGGCGTGGAGATTAAGGTAAGGGGGGGGGGAAGTGTGTGAGGAAAACGGTGAGAGAAAGGAGGGTGTGAGTGATGGATTTTGGATCTTGAGTGTCCCATTCTCCCATTCTCCTCATTTCTTGCCTATCCTGATCCCCCTCTTTCACTGTTCCTTACACACCCCCCTGGCAGCCCGTGTCAGTAACAGTTGCCCAGGTGACCTACCAGTCGCTCTTCTCCTTCCCTTATCCTATACTTGTATTCTTCACCCTATCCTGAACTCCTTCAACCTCCCTCTTCTCCTTTCTTTACCCCCACCTTATCTCCCACCCCTGCCAGCCCGTGTCAGAAACTGTAGCCCAGGTGACCTACCAGTCGCTCTTCCGCCTCTACAGCAAGGTCTCTGGGATGACAGGCACTGCCAAGACTGAGGTGCGTCACAAGAGCAGAGCTTGAGGCTCAATGTTCAAGGGTTCAGGGTGAAAATCTAGGGATGTCTCTCGTACAATGTCGCCCAGGGCACCTACCAGTCGCTCTTCCGGCTCTACAGCAAGGTCTCTGGAATGACAGGCACTGCCAAGACGGAGGTGCGTTGAGAGCCTTGTGACTGGGAAGGTTGAGGGTGTAGAATTCAGAGCACAAGTGATCTTGTTGTTGTTGAAGGGTGTTCAAGCACGTAATACAGGGTACCTACCAGTCGCTCTTCCGGCTCTACAGCAAGGTCTCTGGAATGACAGGCACTGCCAAGACGGAGGTGCGTTGCTTGAGTGCCTAGTGGCCTGGTTGGGTATGTAGCAGCAGGGGCCTTGTAACGGAGGGTTGTTGGGGTTCAGTTTCCAAAGTTCAGCGTTTGGCGTTTATGGATCATCCCCAACCCATTCCCCATAGTCTTATGGTCACACTCCCTGCCTTCTCTCCCCCCCCCCCCACCTCCGCATCTCCCCCTTTGTCACTGCAATCCCATACGGCAGGAGGAGGAGTTCAAGCGCATATTCGGCATGCCAGTGGCCGTCATCCCCACCAACCGTGCCACACCAATACCTATCCTCTTTCACCTCTTGGACCTCCGCTCCTTCTTCTCACACCTGCCCCTCCCCTCCCACTTGGCAGGAGGAGGAGTTCAAGCGCATATTCGGCATGCCAGTGGTCGTCATCCCCACCAACCGCCCCAACATCAGGAAGGATCTGGACGTCGTTGTCTTCCTGGTAAGACTATTACCCTCGTGGTTCTGTTACCCTCAACTGAGCCTGTGGCATGGCGCCCTGAACTTGCCGTGTGGTTGCCCACCAACAGACCCAACATCAGGAAGGACCTGGATGTCGTTGTCTTCCTGGTAAGTCTGTTACCCTCGTGGTTCTGTTACCCTCAACTGAGCCTGTGGCATGGCGCCCTGAACTTGCCGTGTGATAGCCCACCAACAGACCCAACATCAGGAAGGACCTGGATGTCGTTGTCTTCCTAGTCTGTTACCCTCGTGGTTCTGTTACCCTCAACTGAGCCTGTGGCATGGCGCCCTGAACTTGCCGTGTGGTTGCCCACCAACAGACCCAACATCAGGAAGGACCTGGATGTCGTTGTCTTCCTGGTAAGTCTGTTACCCTTGTGGTTCTGTTACCCTCAACTGAGCCTGTGGCATGGCGCCCTGAACTTGCCGTGTGGTTGCCCACCAACAGACCCAACATCAGGAAGGACCTGGATGTCGTTGTCTTCCTGGTAAGTCTGTTACCCTCGTGGTTCTGTTACCCTCAACTGAGCCCGTGCCATGGTGCCCTAAACTTGCCGTGTGGGTCTCTTGTCGTAGTTTTCCTGGCGGGTTTCTTGTCGAACCGCATCAAACTGATGATTATCATAGATAATGATATATAGTCTTTAATAACAGTAATAGTAATTTATCAGCGACATGACTTGAAACTCCCTCTTCCTTGTCGCCGCTCCCCCCTTCCTCAGCAAGTGTGAACAAGGTGCACCATGTCATCCAGGAGATTTTCAAAATCACTGTTGATGCGCAGCAAATGCCCTCTTGTCCCACCCCTCCCCCCCCCGCCCTCTCCTCCCCCCTGGCCCCTCCCCCCTTCCTCAGCAAGCGCGCAACAAGGTGCACCATGTCATTCAGGGGATCGTCAAAATCTCTGTTGATGTGCATCAAATGCCCCCTTGTCCCACCCCTCCTCCACACCTCCTCCCCGCCCCCCATCCACAGCAAGCGCGCAACAAAGTGCATCATGTCATTCAGGAGATCGTCAAAATGAACCAACTCGGCCGCCCTGTGCTTGTTGGGACATCCAGGTGGGTACATCATATCATCCACGCGGCATATCTGCATCACATCCATCCACGTGGCATATCTGCATCACATCCACGTGGCATATCTGCATCACATCCACGTGGCATATCTGCATCACATCCACGTGGCATATCTGCATCACATTCACGTGGCATATCTGCATCACATCCACGTGGCATATCTGCATCACATCCACGTGGCACATCACATTCATATGGGTTCGACTCAACCCTGTGGCAGGAGCTGTATATTTTTGCATAAAAATTTATGTTGTGTATTTATTCATCTTCCTCTCTCTATTTGCTTGCAGTGTGGACGAGTCAGAGCGCCTCTACGCCATGCTGCAGGTGGAGCATGCAACCACTCTGTCAGGGTACTTAAATTAAATAGCTGCGAATCAGACACACTCCCCATCAACCTCCCCATCATCCCCATCAATTCCCCGCAGTGTGGAGTGGACGAGTCAGAGCGCCTGTACGCCATGCTGCAGGTGGAGCATCCTCGTCGTGCAACGCAATGCACTCTATTCAGGCACTTCAAATGTCTTTGAATCGGACGTTTATGCCCCCCTACTCCTCTTCACCACCCAGTGTGGACGAGTCGGAGCGCCTCTACGCCATGCTGCAGGTGGAGCATCCCCCTCCATGCAATGCAACGAGTCTGCTCACCTCCTCCGAGGCACTCAAGTGACTTCTCCTTATCACCGCCCCACACTCCTCCACATCCCTCCTCCTTGCAGTGTGGACGAGTCAGAGCGCCTCTACGCCATGCTGCAGGTGGAGCATCATCCTCATCGTGCAACACAATGCACTCTATTCAGGCACTTCAAATGTCTTTGAATCGGACGTTTATGCCCCCCTCTACTCCTCACCACCCAGTGTGGACGAGTCAGAGCGCCTCTACGCCATGCTGCAGGTGGAGCATCCCCGCCCATGCAATGCAATGCAATGGACTCTACCCACCTCCTCCAAGGCACTTGTATTGAATCAGACATTTATTCCCCTCTACTGCACCTCCCCCAGTGTGGACGAGTCGGAGCGCCTCTACGCCATGCTGCAGGTGGAGCATCCTCGCCGGTTTGCCCACATTCAAGTTCTCAACGCTCGGCCCGAAGTGAGCACAGTGCTTAAGGCGCCCCTAAGTAACATAGGTTTTGCTCGTTCAAGTACTTGCAATATTCATATGCTCACTTGCTTGGTAAAAACCTCCGATAGTATCGGACCTTTCATCCGTCTCGGAGGTTTTTACTGAGCAAGTGAGCATATGGATATTGCTTGGTCCAAGTGAGCATCCATTTGCCAATATGATTGGATGTGTTTGTGCACTGCACTGCACTGCACTGCACTGCACCGCACCGCACCGCACTGCACTGCACTGCACTGCACTGCACTGCACTGTGCAACACGTTCTGTCTCGAAGAACACGTAAAATTAGAGATGGCCCAAAGTTTGGGTGGCGAAATTTAACTCTACTGCTCTGCCCTCCCTTTGGCGTTTCCCTCCGCTACCTCTCTTTCGTCTCCCCCAAAACGCAGCGCGCGAGGCAGAGATCATGACGCAGGCAGGGCTGTTTAGAGGCATCGCATCTCTATCACTCTTGAGTTGACTAATAAAGAATCTTGCCTCTCCCACAATCCCCCTTCTCTACTCCCCCCCTCCCCACCCCTTCTCCCCTCCAATACGCAGCGCGTGCGGCGGAGATCGTGGCGCAGGCGGGGCGGTTTGGAGGCATCACCATCTCATCTCCACCAACACTTTTGAGTCGACTCGAAATTTCTTGCCTCTCCCACACTCACCCCCCTCGCCTCCTCTTCTCCCACCCTTCCCCCTGCCCCCCAGAATGCAGCGCGTGAGGCAGAGATCGTAGCGCAGGCGGGGCGGTTTGGAGGCATCACCATCTCCACCAACATGGCTGGCCGCGGCACTGACATTGTGCTGGGAGGCAATCCCGAGGTGAGTGCTGTGAAGAGGCAACCCCAAGGTCAGTGTTGTGGTGACAGCAGGTGAATAATGTTGCGATGGGAAGGAACCTCAGTGCAGGGCGGTTTGGAGGCATCACCATCTCCACCAACATGGCTGGCAGGGGGACAGACATTGTGCTGGGCGGCAATCCCGAGGTGAGTGGCTGCGAGCCGGCAATCCCGAGGTGAGTGGCCGGGAGCCGGCAATCCCGAGGTCACTGTTGGGGGGTAATCCCCAGAGGCATCACCATCTCAGCCAACATGGCTGGCCGGGGCACCGACATTGTGCTGGGCGGCAATCCCGAGGTTGGTATTATGAAAGTGGTGGTGTGTGCGGTTTGGAGGCATCACCATTTCCTCCAACATGGCTGGCCGGGGCACTGACATTGTGCTGGGAGGCAATCCCGAGGTGAGTGGCTGGGATGGGGCAATCCCGAGGTTGCTGTTGGCGCATGAAGCAGGGCGGTTTGGAGGCATCACCGTTTCCACAAACATGGCTGGTCGTGGCACTGACATTGTGCTGGGAGGCAATCCCGAGGTGAGTGACTGGGATGGGGCAATCCCGAGGTTGCTGTTGGCGCATGAAGCAGGGCGGTTTGGAGGCATCACCGTTTCCACAAACATGGCTGGTCGTGGCACTGACATTGTGCTGGGCGGCAATCCCGAGGTTGGTAGTATTGTGTTGACAGCATGTGAATCAAGTGCTGCAGGGGGGGAAGGACTCTCAAGAGGCATTCGGTGCAGGCGCAGTGGTTGGGAGGCATCACCATCTCCATCCACCAACATTGTGCTGGGCGGCAACCCCGAGGTGAGTGCCTTATGGTCCGGGTGTTGGTTGGTATCACTGATTTCCCGGTGCATGTTGGGTTTGGCTTGGAGGCATCACCATCTCCACCAACATGGCTGGCTGCGGCACCGACGTTGTGCTGGGCGGCAATCCCGAGGTCAGTGTTGGGGGGTAATCCCCTAGGAAGGACTCGCCAGAGGCGCTTGTGTTAGAATACTCCTATTCTTTGTATCATGCATAGACTAGCAAGACTTGGTTAGATATAAGCACCCAAGTTTATCTTGGGTGTAGAACTAGGGTTTGCCCTAGTTGAGGGGTTGGGGTCAATCCAACCTTGGTCCAATATTGTGACCCCCCAATAATTGGGCTCCCCACTATTGGAGGTTCAGTAATTGTGGCCCCCCTACCACAATAATTGACCCCTCCAATAATTGGTGACCCCAACTTATTGGTGGGGGCCAATAATAGTGGCAAGGCCCCCAACTCAACTCATCCCTCTTCCTCAACTATGTAAACTCCCTTGTTCCTTAATGAAATCATCATTCAGAATTCTCTCAGCTTGGTGCAGGTTGGGTTTCGGGGCATCACCATCGCCACTAACATGGTTGGCCAATGCACTAACATTCTCAAAAACAATTTCCTCCCCTCCTCCTGCCCTCTTCCCCTCCTCCTCCCCTCCTCTTCCCCTCTTCCTACCCTCCTCCTCCCCTCCGCCGCCCTTTCTCCCCCGTCGCTCCTCTCCATCGCCCAGCTCCTAAGCAAGGAGGTGGTTAAGTGGGCACTCTTTGAAGCATGCTTTTGCAAGTTCTCAGATTCTCTCTCTCCTCCTCGCATCTTCCCCTCCTCTCCATCATCCAGCTCTTGAGCAAGGAGGTGATCAAGTGGGCGCTCTTTGAAGCGCCAGCAGCCACAGCGGGGAACTATTCTGCTTTCAAGAAAGGCCCACATGCGGTGAGCCGGAGGGAATTGTTTACCGTCTTATCCAAGGTGCAAAATTTCGGCAAAAGTAAAATACGGTCCGTTTTAAACGCTCGTATTTTACGGTCAGATTTCAGAAATTCGGCCGTTTTTTTGTTGATTTTGTGACATTTTTTTTTTTTTTTTTTTGAAAACAGTAGACACGACTCCACTCCTGACCAGGATAGCAAAGAAGCAATACAATGCTAACAAAGTGTCTTGGTTGCGCTCGTTCGACCCTCCTCCTCCTCCCCCCCAGACTCTTCATACTCTCCTCCCCGGAGTCACCGTTCTACTACAGTCCCACTGATAAATCCCCTTTGTCTTCCTCAAGGCTGGTTCATCCGATCGAGGTTCAAGGTTGGAACCAATACTTAAAAATATGTGTAAACCAACTGGTTTCAAGATTTCTGCTGTAAAAAACGGCCGTTTTTTTGCACCACATTGAAATTACCACTTTTTGGCGTTTTAAAACGTTTTAAACAGCCGAAAAATACGATAGCGTATTATACGCCAGAATTTCAATCTTTCGGTCGTTTTTTTGCACCTTGGTCTTATCGAAGGCACTACCTACCTACTGCTAAGCTCACCTCATTAAACAAGGCAAATGTGGTGAGCTGGAGTGATATGTAGAGGGCACTACTACTACCAACCTTGAAAGTGTTCGTGTGAAAAAAATGAGGACCACATGTTTTTTTTTGTGTTTTTTTTTTTTGCGGAGTTCCATCCAGCTGCCCCAAAACTTCGCCTTCAAAATCACCTCACTCGTGGTCCCTCTGAGGATTTGTTGAGGACCACACCACATGGGGTGGAATGTATATGATTCTGGGTGTTTATTGACTTCATGCTGCAGTGTCGCTGCTCCCCCCAGACGTAGCGGCAAAGCCCATTTCTTTTGGGTCGAGAGAGTATTGCCACATCTCCTAGCGAAGGCACTACTCCACAGTTCATCTCTTCCTCACCATGTCATACCTAGGTTTTGCCACACCCTCTTGTTTTTTTCCTGATCTATCCAAACTCCCCTTCTCTCTTACAATTTGAATCCTTTTGTCCACGAGCAGAGGCAGGGGTTCTGGCCGATCAAGCTGCAAGAGGATACATTGAAAGAGCTCTACGCTGCTCAGTTCTCATGTGAGTTTTGAAAAGTCTCAAAAGGCATAAACAGAGGTGGGGGGGGAGGTCTGGCCTATCATTTGAACTGCAAGAGGATACCTTGAAGGAGCTCTACGCTGCTCAGTCGTCATGTGAGTGCTGTCACGAAAGCAGCAAAATTCGTAGTAAAGTAAAGAACGTAGTCTTCTGAGTCGAAAAAAGAAAAAAAGAAAAGAAAAAAAGAGTGCAAACCTGAGTTCCCCCACACAGGCTAACAGAGTCACCTGGACTTACGCAGTCACTTGGACTCACGCCCTACGTCCTTGCCTTTGTGTTGCATCCAAAACCCCTATTTTTCTGAGTTGACTGAATAAAGTAAAAACCTTGAAAGAGCTCTATGCTGCTCAACTCTCTTGTGAGTGTCCCCACACAGGCTCACAGAGTCACCTGGACTTACGCAGTCACTTGGACCCGTGCTCTACTTCCTTGCCTTTGTGCTGCATCGTAAACCCTTCTGAGGCGCCTCAATCAAAAGCCTTTGTGTTGCATCGAAATCCCTTCTGAGGCGCCTCAAAAGCCTTTGTGTTGCATCTAAAACCCCTCCTCCTTCCCCACGCTTCTCTCCTGATACAGGGCGCAGCGTGGCGGCTGATTGGTCAGAGGCGCAGCAGCAGGCGGTGCTAGAGCAGGCAGAGACACAGGCTCTAAGGCCCTCGGAACTGAATATTTCTCCTTCCTGCCTGCCTGTTGCACCAACCCCCCTTCTCCCGTGCCTTCCCTCCCAAAACAGGGCGCAGCGTGGCAGCTGATTGGTCGGAGGCGCAGCAGCAGGCAGTGCTAGAGCAGGCAGAGACACAGGCTTTAAGGCCCTCGGCCCCTCCTGGGGCTGGGGCGGGCAAGGAGGAAGGTTGGGAATGGGGGGAAAGCAGGGAGGAGGCGAGTGCAGGGGCGTGGGAAGGGGATGCAGAGGACACAGGGATGAGCCCTCTGCCATGGCGAACCGGTGAAAATGACAGCACCAACAGCAGCAGCAGCAGCAGCAGTATCAGCAGCAGCAGCAATGGCAGTGGTATCAGCAGCAGTAGTGGTGGTGGCTTCAGCAGCAGCAGCAGCAGTGGGGAGGGGGAGGGGGACGAGAGTGAGGACGACGATGCAGACGTGTGGGGGGGAGGAGGAGGGGTGCTGGGAGTGCGGGCAGTCCCGCGGTCGATGCAGGAGATGGTGGTGAGGGTGGTGGGGCGGGCGCTGGGGAGGGTGAGCTTGGACTGCAAGGCGCACTGCCAGGAGGAGGGCGAGTATGTGCGCTCGCTGGGGGGGCTGCATGTCATCGGGACTGCTCTCAGTGAATCCAGACGGATCGACAACCAGGTGAGAAATGTTCCTGTTGTCTGTGGTAGCAGCGGTGCTGCAGTCGATGCAGGAGACGGTGGTTCTGGATTGGGGAGTGCAGCTCCTTTGGTCCTCTACAGGTGAGAAAAGCCCCTTTGGTCTGTGGTAGCAGCTGCCAGTGCGAGCAGTGCCGCGGTCGATGCAGGAGATGGTGGTGCGGGTGGTGGGGCGGGCGCTGGGGCGGGTGAGTGCGGACTGCAAGGCGCACTGCCAGGAGGAGGGCGAGTATGTGCGCTCGCTGGGGGGGCTGCATGTCATCGGTACTGCTCTGAGCGAGTCATGGCGGATCAACAACCAGGTGAGGGTGGTGCGAGAGTGTGTTGTTAGGATACTCGTCCCAGGTGCACTGCACCATTCTTCACGGGCATGATTTTCTCCTATGCTCGTCCATTTGTCTCAATCAAGCACCTGTTGCTCCATTTGTCTCAAGCACCTGTTGCTCGCACGTCAGCTGATCGAAAGGGAATTTCGGTGGTAGTCAGGTGACCCGGCAACAACTCTCAATTGCATCTACTTTTTGCGTTTCAACATTGCAGCCTGTTAATGCAGTTGGTGTAGGTGCAGTCTCCATGTGTATTACGCCGTGTCTCATGTGTCTTTGCGTGTGTGGCAGTTGAGGGGAAGGGCAGGCCGCCAGGGCGACCCTGGGTCTACTCAGTTTATCATCAGGTGAGGAGGATCAAGTGTATCGGGTGAACGTTAGGTCTAGTATCAGTTGGCATTCAGGTTGAATTGATTGAATTGTTATCTCCCCTCTCTTCCCCAGCCGTGCCAATTCTCCCCTTCCCCCATTCCCGTCCCTAAAGCCCCTCCGGCCCCTCGTTCTCTCCTTTCCTCCCATCCAGTATGGAGGATGGCATAATGAGGGAGGTGCTTCCGGACTCCTCTCGAGCCTTGCTGGAAAAGCTGCTGTAGTCACCTCTCTTTTCCTTTGCTGCTCCTCCTCTGTCTCACTTCCGAACCCCATCCCCTCCCGCATCCCCCCCTTTCCATCCAGCATGCAGGACAATATGATGAGGGAGGTGCTACCAGACTCATCTCGAGCCATGCTGGAGCCACCACTCTTCCTTGCCCCTGCTCACCTGCGCCTCCTCTGCCCCACTCCTGAACCCCCTCCTCTCTCTCCCTCCCCATCCCTCCTCTCTTCCCCCCTTCCCATCCAGTATGGAGGATGACATGATGAAGGAGGTGCTGCCGGAGTCCTCTCGAAGCATGTCCCTCGTTCATCCATGTGCTATTCCATTCAATCCAAACAAAACTAACACTCTTCCCTCTTCCCCCTTCCATCCAGCATGGAGGACGATATGATGAGGGAGGTGCTACCAGACTCCTCCCGAGCCATGTTGGAGCAGTTGCTGTACACAGGCGACTTTGACGAGGGCTTTCCACACATTGCATTGACTCTCGCTGTGAGTATTGTGTTACTGTAAAGAGCATGATTCGGGGGTAACAAGAGCCCCGCTTTAAAGGGACTCCTCTCGAGCCATGCTGGAGCAGCTGCTGTACACAAGCGACTTTGACGAGGGCTTTCCCCACATGGCGCTCACCCTCGCTGTAAGAGCTTGCACTGCAAGTGCACTGCTAGAGCACCTACCTACATTATAAGAAGTTTGACGACTTGGACTACTTCTTATAATGTAGGTAGGTGCTTTAGCAGTGCACGTGGGGGTGTGCTGTGCTCGAGGGGTGATCCACAACGAGAAGAGCCGAGTTGAATGATTGATCCACAACGCCTCAGTCTTTTGAGGAGCCTAAAAAATCAATCACCTCGGCTCTTCTCGTCATCCTACCCATTTCAACCCATCCGAACGTGTCATGTCCTCTCAACACCTGCCTTCTATCACCAGTTGGTGCAGACACGGAAGACAATCGAAGCTGCCATGTTTGAGCGGTGGAGGCAAATGCTCCTTGCCCTCCCTGTTCAACCCTTTTCATCCCAACCACACTGTGTTCAAACCCCTTTCAACCCCACTAACTCCTTGTCGCACCCCTCTAAACACCTGCTTGCCCTCACCAGTTGGTGCAGACGCAGAAGACCATCGAAGCTGCCATGTTCGAGCGGCGGAGGCAAATGCTAGACTATGACCAGGTCTTTGAGGTAAGAGGGTTTGGATGTTTTCATTTAACCATGCGAGCATGCAGGAGCTGCTTGTATCACTTTAGAGAATGTTTTAGGCGTTTCAAAGCGGTGCAAGCATGTGTACAAACTGTTGTTTCATTGTCCCACCCTCCCTCTTCCCTCTCACTCACCATCTTCCGCCGTTCTCTCCCCTCTCCCTTCCTTCCTTCGTGTCTTTGTGCCCCTCTCCCCCTCTGCAGCTCCAGCGCAAGCACGTGTACGAGCTGCGAGGAGGAGTCCATTCTGAAGGAGTCCTATTCTCCTCTCTCACCCTCCCTTTCACCCTACCTTTCACCATCCCTGTCTCCCCCACTACAGTTTCAGCGCAAGCACGTGTACGAGCTGAGAGAATCGATTCTGGAGGAGTCTCCTCCTTCCCCCTTACCTCTCACCCTCCCTCTCACTCGCCCTCTCATCCTCCCTTTCACCTTCAACCTCCCTGCAGCTTCAGCGCAAGCACGTGTACGAGCTGAGAGAGTCCATTCTGGAGGAGTGACTTTCCCTCCTCTCATCTCACCTTTCCTCTCAACCATCTTCTCAAGCTCCTTCTCACCCTCCCTCCCTCCCTGCAGCTTCAGCGCAAGCACGTGTACGAGCTGAGAGAGTCCATTTTGGAGGAGTCTCCTCAAGCCCGGCACACACGCGCACAACTGTGAGTCTCACTGCAGATGTGAGGATGTCACGTTACTTGCACTGTTTACAAACACATGCGCCTTGTATGAGCATCCATCCATCAATCAATCCATCCATCCGCCCGTCTGTCCATCCACCCACCCACCCCCATCTTCCTTTCCACCCGTCCACCCGTCCACCCGTCCACAGGTACATCCAAGCAGTGGTGGATGATGTGGTTAGTACTGCTCCTGTATGTTTAAAATGCCTGTCTTATATTTAAAAAACAATCAGTTGAACTACATTCATAGACCTTCACCAACCATCTTCCTTTCCACCCGTCCACAGGTACATCCAAGCAGTGGTGGATGATGTGGTCAAGGAATACTGCTCATCTTCCAAGGCAAGTCAACCACAGTCAAGGTGAGTCAACGTGAGCAGGTCAACCAGAGTCAAGGCAAGTCAAGCAGTGGTCAATGATGTGGTCAAGGAGTACTGCTCACCTTCAAAGGCAAGTCAAGTCAACCAGAGTCAAGGTGAGTCAACGTGAGCAGGTCAACCAGAGTCAAGGTGAGTCAACGTGAGCAGGTCAACCTGAGTCAAGGCAAGTCAAGTAGTGGTCGATGATGTGGTCAATGAGTACTGCTCACCTTCCAAGGCAAGTCAACCAGAGTCAAAATAAAATCAATATGAGTCAAGTCAAGTCAACCAGAGTCAATATAATGTCAACACCGGTCAAGGCAAGTCAAGCAGAGTCAAAATAAAGTCAATAAGAGTCAAGGCAAGTCAAGCAGTGGTGGATGATGTGGTTAAGGAATACTGCTCACCCTCTAAGGCAAGTCAACCAGAGTCATCGCAAGTCAACATGAGTCTATACATTTCACACAGAGTAGTTCACAGTGCGCGCGACGTTAACCAGAGTCGTCGCAAGTCAACACGAGTCTATGCATTTCACTGTGAAATTTTCACACATAGAGTAGTTCACATCACAGTGCGTGTGACGTTAACCAGAGTCTATGACTGCGGATGTCGCCTGCCCTGTCTCAAAACAGCGCATGACTGGCATGACTGGCATGACTGGCATCATGACCACGTTTCACAGCATGGCACATCTCATCTCATGCCCCCACCCTACCTTCAACAAAAACCACCAACTTCTATTCCCTTCTCCCGCTTCGCTTCGCAACACCAGCCGGTGACGTCATGGCCCATCAACAACACCAGGCTCAAGCGCCACTCTCGCGTTCCCCCTTTTGAGACGTCTCAAAAGTTCCCCCTTTTGAGACGTCTCAAAGAATCACTTTCTACACGTAGCCGGTGACCTCATGGCCCATGAACAGCACCATGCTCAAGCGCCTCTCTCGCGTTCCCCCTCATTCCACCTCTTCCTTCTTTCCCCACACTTTTCCCTTCCCGTTCCTCCCTCCTTTTCCCCAATCACCACCTCCTCTTTCCCCCCAACACCAGGCAGTAGAGTCATGCCCTGTCGACACAAGGCTCAAGCGCCTCTCTCGTGTTCTTCCCCCTCATTCTGCGTCGTGCCTCCTTAACTGCACTCCCTTTCCCATTTCCCCCTCTTGCACACCCAACACCAGCCAGTGGCATCATGGCCCATCAATACCTTGCTCAAGCGCCTCCCTTACACTGTCTCCCTTTCCCATACCCTCCCTTTCCTTCCCCCCCTGATTCCACTCCACCTCCGTATCCCTCCCTCACTGCCCCACCCAACACCAGCCAGTGGCATCATGGCCTATTGACACCATGCTCAAGCGCCTCTCTCGCACCCTCTCCCTCTCCCCTCCCCTTCCACTCCCCCACTTCATTTCACTCCCTCCCCTCCCCCCAACACCAGCCAGTGGCATCATGGCCCATCGACACCTTGCTCAAGCGCCTCTCTCGCGTTCCCCACCTGAGTCTGCCTCTTCTTCCCTAACTCTCCCTCCCTTTCCGCCTCCCTCCCTGCCTCCCCCAACACCAGCCAGTGGCATCATGGCCCATCGACACCTTGCTCAAGCGCCTCTCTCGCGTTCCCCACCTGAGTCTGCCTCTTCTTCCCTAACTCTCCCTCCCTTTCCGCCTCCCTCCCTGCCTCCCCCCAACACCAGCCAGTGGCATCATGGCCCATCGACACCTTGCTCAAGCGCCTCTCTCGCACTCTACCCCTCATTCTCCGTCGTCCTTCCTTTACTGCACTCCCTTTCCATTTTCCTCCTCTTACTCCCCACAACACCAGCCAGTGGCATCATGGCCCATCGACACCTTGCTCAAGCGCCTCTCTCGCACCACTGGCATAGGTACTGTTCATTCCCTGCTCTACACACACACGCATAGTTGACTACTTCAAACAAGCATACAGTACACGTTGCGTTGGCATGAAACGAAATGCTTATGCACGGCCATCTCCATATCATACAGTGTTGCATTGCTAACGAGTATGTGGGGCCTTCCTCCCTCCTCCCTCCCTGCTTCCCTGCCTCTCCCACCCCTTCCCTATCCCCTCCTTGCCAGACCTCTCCCAGAACGTGGATGCCACCTCCCTCAGTTCCGCCCTTTCCTATGTGGCGCCTTGAAATCACGTTCCTTTTGTCCCCCACTTTTCCTCCCTACCTGCCCACGCCCCTTTCAGACATCTCCCAGCACGTGGATGCCACCTCCCTCACTTCCGCCCTGTCCCACTCCCCTCCGCCGAACGCCGGCCATCGCTGGGACCTCAGAAAGCACCTTCCCCACGTTCTGTCTCCCTTGCCTGAGGTTCTGCCGGCTTTTGGGGGAGTATTGAACTCTTCTGCTGCTACTGGTGCTGCTGGTGCTGCTGGTGCTGCCGGTGCTGGTGCCGGTGGTGGTGCTGCTGCTGCTGGTGTTGGAACAGAGAATAAGAGGGAGGTGGGGGAAGGGGGTGAGGCGGAAGCAATGCGGGAGGAGCTGAGATGGAGAGAGATTCTTCGCGACTCCTCTGACCTGTAAGGCAGTATATCATACTATACTGACTGACTGGCCCCCCCTCCCCTACTTATTGCCCCTGATTGAAACCCCTAACTGACTCTGCCTGACTGAAACCCCTGACTGTCTTCCCCTCGTTGACTATCCCAATGTCGCCCCTTGCATTTTGAGACGTCTTAAAAAATGTCTGCCATGGAAAGCGAAACACAATATGCGATACTCCTCTGTCACCCCTCATCTCCCAACCCTCATCTCACCTCACCCCTCATCCCAACCTTGTCTCGCTCCTCCCTCGCCCTTGTTTTGTACTCCCATCGTTGCACCTACATCCCCTCACGCCTCCTCTCTCCTCCTCTCCTCTTCTCTCCTCTCCCCTCTCCTCAGTTGGAGCAGGTCATCAAAGCACCAGGCAGCGCTGCGCAAGTACCTGGGGGACGAGCTACAGGGCCCACCTCGCTCTCTTCTCCTCTCATTCTCCTATTCTATTCCTATTTCCCCCCTCATTGCTGCGCATCTGTTCTCCTCAGGAGGGGCAGGTCATCAAGGCAACTGGCAGCACTGCGCAAGTATCTGGGGGAATTGGTGGTCACGAGCTACAGGGCCCACCTCGCCCTCGTCTCCTCTTATTCTCCTGTTGTATTCCTGTTTCCCCCTCACTGCTACGCCTCTCTCTCTCTCCTCAGGAGGGGCAGGTCTTCAAGGCAACTGGCAGCACTGCGCAAGTATCTGGGGGACTTGGTGGTCACGAGCTACAGGGCCCACCTCGCCCTCGTCTCCTCTTATTCTCCTGTTGTATTCCTGTTTCCCCCTCACTGCTACGCCTCTCTCTCTCTCCTCAGGAGGGGCAGGTCTTCAAGGCAACTGGCAGCACTGCGCAAGTATCTGGGGGACTTGGTGGTCACGAGCTACAGGGCCCACCTCGCCCTCGTCTCCTCTTATTCTCCTGTTGTATTCCTGTTTCCCCCTCACTGCTACGCCTCTCTCTCTCTCCTCAGGAGGGGCAGGTCTTCAAGGCAACTGGCAGCACTGCGCAAGTATCTGGGGGACTTGGTGGTCACGAGCTACAGGGCGCACCTTGCTCTCTTCGTTGCGTCGCCACAGCAGATGGAGTTCTTTGAGGTGAGAGAAAGAAATGGGGCGTGAAGGGCCGCCTATTGAGAAAGAAATGTCTCAAGTCCAGCAGTGCAGTGTGGTGGAGACATGCTACAGGGCCCACCTTGCACTCTTCGTTGCGTCGCCACAGCAGATGGCGTTCTTCGAGGTGAGAGAAAGAAATGGGGCGTGAAGGGCCGCCTATTGAGAAAGAAATGTCTCAAGTCCAGCAGTGCAGTGTGGTGGAGACATGCTACAGGGCCCACCTCGCTCTCTTCGTTGCGTCGCCACAGCAGATGGAGTTCTTCGAGGTGAGGGGAAGCAGTGAGACCTAAAGAGCTGCCCACTCTTCGATGTTTCAAGTCCAGCAGTGCAGTGTGGTGGTGACGAGCTACAGGGCCCGCCCGCCTTGCACTCTTCGTTGCGTCGCCACAGCAGATGGAGTTCTTCGAGGTGAGAGAAAGAAATGAGACCTAAGGAGCTGCCTATTCTTCGATGTTTCAAGTCCAGCAGTGCAGTGTGGTGGTGACGAGCTACAGGGCCCGCCCACCTCGCTCTCTTCGTTGCGTCGCCGCAGCAGATGGAGTTCTTTGAGGTGAGGGAAAGAAATGAGACCTAAAGAGCTGCCTATTTTTTCGATGTTTCAAGTCCAGCAGTGCAGTGTGGTGGTGACGAGCTACAGGGCCCGCCCACCTCGCTCTCTTCGTTGCGTCGCCACAGCAGATGGGGTTTTTCGAAGTGAAAGTTTTTTGTTTAGTTTTTTTTTTTTTTTTTTTTTTTTTTTTTTTTTTTTTTTTGGCGAAGGGGGGAGGGGGGGGGGAGGGGGTTTGGGTGGGTGTTTTGTCTAGTTTGTGTTTGTAAAGTCATGTGAAGCAAGTCATAACCATTCCCCCCTATTTTGCCATTTCCCATCTGTAATTCCGCCCTGTGCCCCTATCTACCTGCATGCAACCATTAACTTTCCCCTTGCGCCTCTTGATTCCCCCCTGTGCCCCCTGCGCCCTGCAACTCTCCCCTGCTCCACCCAACTCCCCCCTCCGCCCATCAACTTCCCCCTTGCGTCCCCTGCGATGCGCTCTTCTTGCTTTCTTCCAAGCAGAGAGAGTCGCTGTTGTCTACGTTGGACCGGCTGTGGAGCGTGCATATCGCCAACATGGCACGGCTGAGGAACGCGGTGAGTGCTGGGGGGAGCAAGGGCGTGCATACAGAAAAGGACTGAGGGTCGTGGGAAGTACTCTGTTCTGTTGTCTACGCTGGACCGGCTGTGGAGCGCTCATATCGCCAACATGGCACGGCTGAGGAACGCGGTGAGTGCATGCAGTAAGGGCGGAGTGGATGAGGTATGTGCGTGTTGCAGTCAGAACTGTGTGTGCCAATTTTAAGACGTCTCAAAACACTACTTCAAACACGCGGTGAGTGCATGCAGTAAGGGCGGGCAGAGTGAATGAGGGATGTGTGTGTTGCAGTCAGAACTGTGTGTGCCGATTTTTTAGGCCCTTGAAGACACCTTGTTTGTAGTCATTCATAACCATGTGTGTGTTGGGTGTGCGTGCGCAGCTCTATCTATGTTTTCCCATTTTGAGAATTCTCGAAATGCACTGCATTTTTCGCACACTCCTTCTTGAGAAAACGCTCTTGCTTCTCCTCCCTCCATCTCTCTGTTCCCCCACTTCTGCATTTCTGCAGGTGAGCGTGCAGGGCTTTGGGAGGGAGAACCCGCTAGAGGAGTTCAAGATAGAGGGCACAAGCTTCTTCATCTGAACCATCTCCCTCTCCCTCTCTGTCCCTGTCTTGGGCAGGAGAATTCCGTAGAGGAGTTCAAGACAGAGGGCACACGCTTCTTCATCTCCACGCTCTTCTCTCTTCTGCTCCTTCCTCCCTTACAACCGGTTCTGTTCTGTGCTGTTCCTGTTTTCTCCCTGTTGTTGCTTCTACAGGTGAGCGTGCAGAGCTTTGGGCGGGAGAACCGGTTAGAGGAGTTCAAGAATGAACGAACACTCTTCTTCATCTCCACGCTCTTTTGTCTCCTGCTCCTTCCTCCCTTGTTTCTCTCCCTGTTTGCTTCCTGTTTCTACAGGTGAGTGTGCAAGGCTTTGGCCGAGAGAACCCTTTAGAGGAGTTCAAGATAGAGGGCACTCGCTTCTTCATCTCAACGCTCTTTGCCATGCGGAGGGAGAGCGTGCAAGCACTGCTGTCGGCCTTCCTGGCAGATGTGGAGGGGGGCATTGATGGTGGTGCTGGCGATGTCTGATACAGGGCACCCACGCGCCTCTTCATCCCCACACTCTTCGCCATGCGGAGGGAGAGCGTGCAGGCGCTGCTGCTGTCGTCCTTTTTCGCGGACACAGATGGGAGTGTTGATAATGGTGGGCGGAACGTGGTGTATGCAAGCACACGTTTTTTATGGGAAAGAATGCCAGGAGAGTGTGCAGGCGCTGCTGTCGGCCTTTTTGGCGGACACAGATGGGAGCGTTGATGGTGGGAGTGGGAACGTGGTGTAGGCAAGCACACGTTTTTTATTGGGAAAGAATGTCAGGACAGTGTCCAGTGCAGGCGCTGCTGGTGGCCTTCCTGGCAGACACAGATGGGAAGGTTGATGGTGGAGGCGGAAGGAACGTGGTCTAGTTGTGGTGTGGTCTATGTAGAGAAGGGAGGGGAAGGGAGAGCGTGCAGGCGCTGCAGGCGTTAGGTGCAGGATGTGGGCCAGTCCAGCCGCGAGTTGTCAAGTGGGCAGGATGGGTGGAGAAACAGAGAGCAAGCACTGCTATCTGGCTTTGTGTATGCTGTTAGGTACATGTCAGGAAAGAAAGTACCGTACTAGGGTAGTCAGCTGGCTGGGTATCTTTGCACCCACAAAGCTAGATTGACAAGGCCAAAAACTTCATAAAATTTTTGTAGAGTACACTGATTGCTGCAAGCAGTTTCCTTATAGCTGCATTGAGAAATTCAGACTGGACTGGAAGGGATGCTGTGATTCCTGAGGTGTATTTTCAGCGACGTGCTTTCTCCAGCTTGCTTCGACGCTCTTCAAGAGATGCTGTTTCCCGTGCCAGCAGCAAGGCAGAGGAAAGCAAGGAAAGGATAAAAGAGGGAACGGGAAGTGGAGGAGAAATTCATCACGAACAAAAGAAAGGAAAGGAAATACTTGTACCACGGAAAGAGCAATGGAGGCCTGGTAACTGGAGGGTGGTGAAAGGAGGGCGTGGTGTGAGGAGTTAAAAACACAAATGAAAGATACACTAACTCAGACTCGACAACACCTGTGATGGAAATCTGATCTCTCACAAGGCCAACAGAAGAAACGAATTCATTGCTTCATGTAACCGTGGTTTCTTTCTCACGTTCTCTTGGTCTTCGGTGCAGCAGGATGTGCGACAGCTGCTTCTTCCCACTCCCATCCTGTTCCAATCCTCTGCCGGGACTGTGTTGTCTCACGTTCACTTGCTCTCCAGCTTTTAAAACATCTCAGCACTCACGTTCTCTTGGCCTTCGGTGCAGCGGGATGTGCGACAGCTGCTTCTCCTTCTTCCCACTCCCATCCTCCGCTGAGCCTAGTCCACCCGAATCAGCGACACCAACAGCAGAAGCCTCTGCCACGTGAAGAGCAGACTGCAGCACGGAGCATCGGATGAGCGCTGCATTGAGCTGCTGGCGGATGGAATGGCAAAACAGGCGCTTGGCGTCTGGTGAAGGCGTGGAGGGAGACGGGGGAGGGAGGAGGGGGGGCAACGAGTGAGGGAGCAAGAGCATTGGATGAGCGCTGCATTGAGCTGCTGGCGGATGGAATGGCAGAACAGGCGCTTGGCGTCTGGTGGGGGGGTTAATAGAATAGAGAGGAGTGGGGAGTAGGGAGTAGGGAATCAGGTAGGTGGATGGGGGAACAAGAGAGGGGCCATGAGCATTGGGTGAACACTGCATTGGGTTGCTGGCGGATGGAATGGCAGAACAGGCGCTTGGCGTCTGGTGGGGGAGGGAGGTGGGGGAAAGGAGGAGGAGAGGAGAGGTAGGTGGGAGAAGGAGGGGCCGGTCATGGTAGAAGACTCTGCCACGTGAAGAACAAACTGCAGCAGGGAGTATCGGATGAGAGCTGCATTGAGCTGCCTTTTGAGTCGACTCAAAAGTCATATGGGATGAGAGCTGCATTGAGCTGCCTTTTGAGTCGACTCAAAAGTCATATGGGATGAGAGCTGCATTGAGCTGCCTTTTGAGTCGACTCAAAAGTCATATGGGATGAGAGCTGCATTGAGCTGCCTTTTGAGTCTACTCAAAAGTCATATGGGATGAGAGCTGCATTGAGCTGCCTTTTGAGTCGACTCAAAAGTCATATGGGATGAGAGCTGCATTGAGCTGCCTTTTGAGTCGACTCAAAAGTCATATGGGATGAGAGCTGCATTGAGCTGCCTTTTGAGTCGACTCAAAAGTCATATGGGATGAGAGCTGCATTGAGCTGCCTTCTGAGACGACTCAAAAGTCATATGGGATGAGAGCTGCATTGAGCTGCCTTTTGAGTCGACTCAAAAGTCATATGGGATGAGAGCTGCATTGAGCTGCCTTTTGAGTCGACTCAAAAGTCATATGGGATGAGAGCTGCATTGAGCTGCCTTTTGAGTCGACTCAAAAGTCATATGGGATGAGAGCTGCATTGAGCTGCCTTTTGAGTCGACTCAAAAGTCATATGGGATGAGAGCTGCATTGAGCTGCCTTTTGAGTCGACTCAAAAGTCATATGGGATGAGAGCTGCATTGAGCTGCCTTTTGAGTCGACTCAAAAGTCATATGGGATGAGAGCTGCATTGAGCTGCCTTTTGAGTCGACTCAAAAGTCATATGGGATGAGAGCTGCATTGAGCTGCCTTTTGAGTCGACTCAAAAGTCATATGGGATGAGAGCTGCATTGAGCTGCCTTTTGAGTCGACTCAAAAGTCATATGGGATGAGAGCTGCATTGAGCTGCCTTTTGAGTCGACTCAAAAGTCATACGGGATGAGAGCTGCATTGAGCTGCCTTTTGAGTCGACTCAAAAGTCATATGGGATGAGAGATGCATTGAGCTGTCTTTTGAGTCGACTCAAAAGTCATAGGGGATGAGAGCTGCATTGAGCTGCCTTTTGAGTCGACTCAAAAGTCATATGGGATGAGAGCTGCATTGAGCTGCCTTTTGAGTCGACTCAAAAGTCATATGGGATGAGAGCTGCATTGAGCTGCCTTTTGAGTCGACTCAAAAGTCATATGGGATGAGAGCTGCATTGAGCTGTCTTTTGAGTCGACTCAAAAGTCATATGGGATGAGAGCTGCATTGAGCTGCCTTTTGAGTCGACTCAAAAGTCATATGGGATGAGAGCTGCATTGAGCTGCCTTTTGAGTCGACTCAAAAGTCATATGGGATGAGAGATGCATTGAGCTGCCTTTTGAGTCGACTCAAAAGTCATATGGGATGAGAGCTGCATTGAGCTGCCTTTTGAGTCGACTCAAAAGTCATATGGGATGAGAGCTGCATTGAGCTGCCTTTTGAGTCGACTCAAAAGTCATATGGGATGAGAGCTGCATTGAGCTGCCTTTTGAGTCGACTCAAAAGTCATATGGGATGAGAGCTGCATTGAGCTGCCTTTTGAGTTGACTCAAAATTCATATGGGATGTGAGCTGCATTGAGCTGCCTTTTGAGTCGACTCAAAAGTCATATGGGATGAGAGCTGCATTGAGCTGCCTTTTGAGTCGACTCAAAAGTCATATGGGATGAGAGCTGCATTGAGCTGCCTTTTGAGTCGACTCAAAAGTCATATGGGATGAGAGCTGCATTGAGCTGCCTTTTGAGTCGACTCAAAAGTCATATGGGATGAGAGCTGCATTGAGCTGCCTTTTGAGTCGACTCAAAAGTCATATGGGATGAGAGCTGCATTGAGCTGCCTTTTGAGTCGACTCAAAAGTCATATGGGATGAGAGCTGCATTGAGCTGCCTTTTGAGTCGACTCAAAGGTCATATGGGATGAGAGCTGCATTGAGCTGCCTTTTGAGTCGACTCAAAAGTCATATGGGATGAGAGCTGCATTGAGCTGCCTTTTGAGTCGACTCAAAGGTCATATGGGATGAGAGCTGCATTGAGCTGCCTTTTGAGTCGACTCAAAAGTCATATGGGATGAGAGCTGCATTGAGCTGCCTTTTGAGTCGACTCAAAAGTCATATGGGATGAGAGCTGCATTGAGCTGCCTTTTGAGTCGACTCAAAAGTCATATGGGATGAGAGATGCATTGAGCTGCCTTTTGAGTCGACTCAAAAGTCATATGGGATGAGAGTTGCATTGAGCTGCCTTTTGAGTCGACTCAAAAGTCATATGGGATGAGAGCTGCATTGAGCTGTCTTTTGAGTCGACTCAAAAGTCATATGGGATGAGAGCTGCATTGAGCTGCCTTTTGAGTCGACTCAAAAGTCATATGGGATGAGAGCTGCATTGAGCTGCCTTTTGAGTCGACTCAAAAGTCATATGGGATGAGAGCAGCATTGAGCTGCCTTTTGAGTCGACTCAAAAGTCATATGGGATGAGAGCTGCATTGAGCTGCCTTTTGAGTCGACTCAAAAGTCATATGGGATGAGAGCTGCATTGAGCTGCCTTTTGAGTCGACTCAAAAGTCATATGGGATGAGAGCTGCATTGAGCTGCCTTTTGAGTCGACTCAAAAGTCATATGGGATGAGAGCTGCATTGAGCTGCCTTTTGAGTCGACTCAAAAGTCATATGGGATGAGAGCTGCATTGAGCTGCCTTTTGAGTCGACTCAAAAGTCATATGGGATGAGAGCTGCATTGAGCTGCCTTTTGAGTCGACTCAAAAGTCATATGGGATGAGAGCTGCATTGAGCTGTCTTTTGAGTCGACTCAAAAGTCATATGGGATGAGAGCTGCATTGAGCTGCCTTTTGAGTCGACTCAAAAGTCATATGGGATGAGAGCTGCATTGAGCTGTCTTTTGAGTCGACTCAAAAGTCATATGGGATGAGAGCTGCATTGAGCTGCCTTTTGAGTCGACTCAAAAGTCATATGGGATGAGAGCTGCATTGAGCTGCCTTTTGAGTCGACTCAAAAGTCATATGGGATGAGAGCTGCATTGAGCTGCCTTTTGAGTCGACTCAAAAGTCATATGGGATGAGAGCTGCATTGAGCTGCCTTTTGAGTCGACTCAAAAGTCATATGGGATGAGAGCTGCATTGAGCTGCCTTTTGAGTCGACTCAAAAGTCATATGGGATGAGAGCTGCATTGAGCTGCCTTTTGAGTCGACTCAAAAGTCATATGGGATGAGAGCTGCATTGAGCTGCCTTTTGAGTCGACTCAAAAGTCATATGGGATGAGAGCTGCATTGAGCTGCCTTTTGAGTCGACTCAAAAGTCATATGGGATGAGAGCTGCATTGAGCTGCTTTTTGAGTCGACTCAAAAGTCATATGGGATGAGAGCTGCATTGAGCTGTCTTTTGAGTCGACTCAAAAGTCATA